ACATGCGCGCAACGAACTAAATCATCAATATACTCCTCCTCCTCCTCCTCGTCCTCCTCATCCTCCTCCTCCCCCAACCTCTCAAACTCCCTTCTCTTCTCCGCCCTCTTCTTCTCCCTCTACTTCTCTAACTCCTCCAACTCCAATTCCTCCTTCTCCTTCTTATTATCCTTTATTATTATTATTATTATTATTATCTTTTTCTTTTTCTTTTTCTTAGCGGCGGCGGCGGCGGCGGTAGGAGTAGGGATAGGGGTAGGCGAAGAGAGGGTAGAAGAGGTAGAAGTCTTTTTAACCTTAATAATATACTTTTTACCTCTAATAGGAGGGAATTGGTTATTATCTTCGTTATCCTCGTTAATATTAAGGACCGTCTTAGCTCTTTTAGCCTTTTTCCTAATAAAAGGAGCGAATTACTCCGCCTCAGCCTCGGTATAATTATTACCAACCTAATTAGTATATTCTTTAACTTCTTTAATATCCTCCTTAATTATTACTAATACTACCTTATTCTAAGCTACCCGCAACTCCCATTCCTTCCTACCCGTTTCCGTCGTCTCCTAACTCAAAAATCTTTTAATACTTACAACCCAATTTCTAACTTTAATCAAACCCTCCTTCGCCTTCGCTATTTATACTTAAGTACGTTAAAAACGCGCTAGAAGGCGCGTAACGTTAGTAGCGTCGGGGTTAGCGGAAGGGAGCGCCGGATTAGTAGCGGGGATAACTTCTTCTTCGGGGGCGGGGATAGGAATACCGGTAGCGCTGGGGGGAGCGGAAGCGGGCACGACAAGGATATTGTCATTACCGAAAAAAAGCGGGGAGGAGGGGGCGGACTTGGAATAGGATATAATCTATATTAATAATAGCGAAGGATTATTAAATTCTTTTAAGGACACTCCAATCGCCAACTATACTACTACACCGCTAGGAATATATAATAAATTAAAATAAACGAGGCAGCGAGATAACGAACGAATAGCAATAGAGATAACGGGTAACGAAATAACGAATAATAATAAATAAAAATAGCGAAAGCGGGCAATAAGACGGCGAAAGCTTTAATTACTATTGTACGAAATTATAGAATAAGAGACGTTAAAGAAAGGACCGGTACTACTCTAACGATAATAGTATGAATTAATAATTCTATCTAGTCCGTTATAGTCGGTCGTTACTTACTATTCATTATTATAGTAACCGTATCGCCGGCCACAACTATAATTTGGAAGTCGCCCCCGGTTGATACTATAGGTCTATTTAACTAATAATCCTAGTATAATTCGTACTTAATATATTACTACCCGCTAGATTAATACACAGGTAATTATTAGACGGATTTATAAATGTACTAATACGTAAAAGGTTTATTTCTACTAACGGTTTATTTTGGTTTATTTGGCCTATAGTAATTTATAGATTTAATAGTAGATTCTACTAGTATATTAACTATATAAACCTACTATAGACCGTCTAGTTATATTAATAGATATATTTTCTTTACCGGCTATCGGGCTAACTATTAATATATAAATCTAGTTTTTAAGCGTTAAAACGATATTAATTATATTATTTATAAATAATTGAATATATCAACGATCATTAAGAATACAACCATCATTCATCTATTTAGTAGGTTAACTAATTAATATAAAACCTGATAATATAAAAAGCTCGTAATAAAGACGATTATATATAACTAGTTATACGACAATTCTTAGGATTACCTATCACTAAGATTCACGGATTAAATCTACAATTACCCTAGAAATAACCTACCTATCTTTTCAATATATATCTAAATAAATAATTAGTTATAATTAGACTGTTAATAAACAATTGATTTATAGTCTATTAATTAAATACACTATCTTATAAACTATTAGGCAAATTAATAGTCAAATAGTTTAACTATGTGTTGACAGTTGATTACCGGCTAATATAATTGTAACCGTCAGTCTACAGTTAATCGCATAAACAGTCAGATTCTAATAAACCAAGGCTCGATAAACCGTAGACTGACGGTTGTTAAAATAAGCGGTCTACATTTTTATAGCTTAATACACAAACGGTTCAAATGCTTAGACTAATAATGCACGGTCAATTAATAATAAATAGTCTATGTAAGGTTTACCTCCCCCCCCCTAGTTCGGCTAAGCTACGTTGAACCGTTGACTTTGACAAGGACTAGGCAACAACGGCAAAGTCGGAGAGACACGGCAGACGGGAAGGAATGGAGAGAGAATTACATACAATACCTTGGCCCCATAACAGAACTACCCCCCTAGAGGATCAAGTTGTGCTGCTGCACACTGTCGCTGCACTGTTACTGCCTGCGCTGCTCAGTCTGCTGCAGTCTGGCGCACGCATATCCCCCACCTTCCGCCCATTGATTTTTCTAGCGCGCGCGCACTGGAATCTCCCACCACGCGGACACCGCCACCCAATTCCTGTAGTGTACATAGTGTATGTAGGCCGGGCCGTTGTGGTTTACACCTACCTACTCAGGTACCCACCCAAAGCGAAGGACGGGATAGTGCAACAAAGTACCTGTAGAGTGCAGTGCCTGCTGCCGTGCATAGAACCTAAGACGGGCAGGAGTGGAGCAGGGGCCAATTCATCCGATCTTTCACTTGTTGTCTTCCGTCCCGTCTCTTCTCCTTTTTTTTCTTCTCTCTCTCTACCTTTTCTTCACTCCGTCTTCTCTCAACCTCTCAGATCTCACCTAGTAGACTTGTACACTACATTAGTCTAGTGTAGTGTCCAAGACTCTAGACTCGACTCGACACCCGGCGCTAGGAGATCGCTCCAGAGGTCACACACACACTTTGCGGCAGTGACCCCTATCCCAGTCCGACCGCTGTTAGCTTCTCAGGGTCCCGTCTCCTCCCCTCCCTCCCCGTCAGCCGCTGTGTCAGCAGTCAGTCGTCGAGAACGAACCCCCCCGGGCCGCTCAACTACCATACATTTCTGCAGCTGCTTCCACTTTCGACCTTTTGCCCTCAGCTGTCTCCCATTTGCACACTTGCACTTGCACATCGACAACGACAACGACACTGCTTTTTTCCATCACACGTCATTGTCCACCACAGAAACCATCCTCCCGCACCGTCTTGTTGTTGGCCACGCTTCCTCGTCGACGACCGAACGATTGACTGCTCCTCGGCTGCAGTGCAACCAAACCGTCCAAACTCTCTCTCCCCCGCCGTAGCGTCCGGCATTCTATATATCCATCCGCCCACCCGTCTATCCGTCCATTCATCCAAACCCCCCAACGGCTCGTATAGACCGACCGAGACGGCCAACGACATACGAAGCACGTCCCAATCGTCTCAACCCTTGTACGCCGCCTGTTCATCTCGTCTCATCAACAAGCCGCCGCGCACCGATCCTACACTTCAAACCACTTACGTTTCTACTTCCATTACTACCGCCTACCTCGAACAACAAGATATTGAGAGTGATACGTGGTGTTCCTGGCACCCCTTCAACCAAGCCCACTCAAAGCGAAACACACGGGGTTCCAGAACAAAGTCGCAACCACGGCTTCCCCACAAGAAGGTCCCGCGCCATCGGCTGCGGAAGGACAAGTGCCCCAAAGTGTCCAAGAGAGAGGTACCCTTGTTAGCCCTGCCTCATCCGAGGAGGAGGACGCCGCCATGGAGGCCCTCAAGAACCTCGAGTACGGTATTCCCGACTGGCTGCATCGTCTAGATGAGCTCAACGGCCAAATCGAACAACGCCAGCAGGAGTTGGCCCAACTTACCGAGTCCAAGTCATCATCGCCTGGCGGAGAGCCAGGATCCCCGTCACGCAAGTCTTTGAGGAACAAGGGGTCAACTGAAAGTCTCAGGCCCAAAGATGAGCCGTCCGCCCATCCCAACTACCAGGAGAACGAGACAGCGAACAACCGACCAACCAGCCCCCAGACGCCAGGTTCTCCCGGAGCTCTGCAGCGAACAACATCGCAAGTCCGTGCAGCAGGTCAGGCCAAGGCGCGCGCTACCCTTCGCAAGCGCCAACGAACTGACTCGGTCATGAGCGCCGAGAACGCCGACAAGCCACCAAAGTACCGCAGCCGGAGCATGATCATCGTCTACTACGACAGCTATGTACAAAGCTTTTTCGAGGAGCTGGTCAAGTTTGTGAGCGCCAGCAGGAACATGATGCGCAAGGCCAAAATGGCAGCCAAGGTTGCCCAGATCAAGAGGTTGGCCGAGCTCAACACGCCGCCCGACGACGATGAAACCGGTGGAGACACCGCGAACGGGGAACTGGTGCCTGACCCCAAGGCAGTGAACAACATGGATGCATCGGCGGCCGCTCCGGCCGCGGGGAGCCTGGATCCAGTTCAAGCAGTGTTAGCTGCTCGTCGCGCGCGCGATTATAAGCGCATGATGGCCCAAGGTGGCGGAGTACGCGCCAACCCCATGGCCGCCGGTTTCCGCATGAACGCGAATATGGGCCGTGCCGGTGCCGGCCAATCGCCTCAAGATGCCGGGTCGGATGTCTACGATGAGCTCGACAAGGGTCTCGAGTTTGTTCAATCCATGTGCGAGCACGCTGCCCATCAGTTCCTTCGTGACGGCGACTGCGGTGAGGAGGTCACCAAGATCAAGCAGCGTCTGGCGCAGACCAAGGACTTGGCCGCCAAGGAGATGGAGCGTGCCAAGCGCGAGGATCTTGGTGGAGATGGTTTCGCCGAACTGGGTGCTGGTGGCGCGGCCGGATTGATGTCTAGGGGAGCAACTGCCGGTGCGAGCGCCATGCCCATGGGCATGGGGGCGAGGAGCTATAGACCCCAAAGCATGAGGAGGGTGACGAGCGTGAAGAGCACAAAGAGCTCCGTGAAGGAGGCTGCTAAGGAGGCTACCAAGGAGGGGGTGGCGGTGACGGTGGTGGAAAAGGGAGTCAAGAGGACGGCACCGGCGACGGAGTCGGAGGGAAGCACAGTAAGCGGGAGTGTCAAGGGTGATGCCAAAATCGAGGTAGATGAGGGGTTGGAGGATGTGGATGACAGTGCCGCCAATGATGGGATAATTGCGGCCGACCCATCAGCGGATTCGGAACCTATAGACTTGTCCAAGTTGGTCTACAGGAGTACCCGATTGATGAGGTAGAGTGCGACGAGCAGTAGTAGCGCGAGTGAGGGAGACTGGAATGAAGAAAAATGAACAGGTCTGTTGGATAGGAATTGGTGTTTGTTTTGTGTGTTTGGGTAGGTGAGCGAGCGAGCGATTGAGCACTTGAATGGGTAGGTGAACGAAATGGCTAGGAAAGGTTATTTAATGTTTTGGGTTGGGACGAGGTCTCCCGCTGCTCTGCTTTTTCTGGTAAAACAAAACCATCCATCTATGATCTCTGTCTATATATCCTCAAAAGAAATCTCGGCCTTCTTCTCTCTCGCACTTTTTCCAGTTATATCATGTCCTGTCATGTCGTGTCAGGTATGGCGTTGGGGTTCGTCTCTTCTTTTTTGGGTGCTTATACCACTGACGAATAATGAATATTATGACACAAAGACAAGACAAAATTATCATGAATTACGAACCATCATCGGACTGATCTTCTTTTCTACACACGTTTGGCCAAACTTGACGCGGGTCGTATAGACTGTAATATTAAAGAACGCTAATACTTTTACGGGAAGCCTTTGCAAAGAGCGCTCCTCCAAGTGTTACAGCTTCAAACTACCTATGAAATTTGCTTGCGTGGACGGTTTCAGATGAATGCCACCTAGATCTCATCCCTCCCTTCCTTCGTTCCTCTCCTCTCCTCGATCCCTCCCCTCCATTCCGTCAAGCAAGCAAGCAAGCAAGCAAGCACCTTCTATCTGATGTATCTGGACGTCCTTGTCCTAGGAGCAAAAGTCTCTCTCTCACCCTTTCCTTTCCCCTTCTTGACGGTAAGTACTCGTTCTTCTTTCCTTCTTACGCAAGCGACCAACCAAAGCATGACGTGTCCGTAAATGTATGTCCACTCAAAGAAAAGCCTCAAAGTCATTCATTCTCCTCGAGGATCCCTCCACACTTAAGTACTTCGAAATACATACTTCTTTTTGAAGACGTCGGTACCGCAGTGGACGCAGACGCGGACGCTACGTTTCTCTGGAGCTGAGGCGGCGTCATCATCTCTTCCAGGCAGGGGTGGGTTGGTGGTGGGTGGTTGGTGGGTGGAATGAGCCTGACGGTTAGTTAGGTTAGGTTGCGGGGACGCCCGGGCGGCGGCGGGCCGTTGCGCTGCGGGGCGCCACGCGGACTTGGGTTTTTAAGGTTGAGTCCGCCCCGGCCGGGCCCGCTCCTGGTTTTTTTTTTTTTTTTTTTTTTTTTTTTTTTTTTTTTTTTTTTTTTTTTTAGTTTGGTTTGGTTTGGGAGGACAAGTTCTGAGGGGCGAGTAAACATATTTTCATCATACTTTCACACAAGGTGTCTTGAATGGAAGAGAGGAAACACTTGAACATCATTACCTTTTCTCGGGACAAGTCAATCCAGAGTTGAGATTCAAGCTTGAATTCGCTACTTGTTTGTTCTTGAATTATCATCATCGTCACGCTCGAGCTAACAAGCATGCGACGTCATCTATTACCCCAAGTAGATCATCACAATAGCATACATACCCTCATACCCATACCAAGTATGTGCCTAAGTCTAAAAGAACCAAATGACTACACCGAATCCATGCATGCAATGCAAACAATGCGGCAAAAGCACAATGTTTTGTTGTTTTGTAATAATGTACAGGTAGAATGGACAGTTGTCGTTCGCTGACTTTTTCGCTCTCACCCTCATGGATGATGGACAGTCACGTTGTCCTTAGTTGTTGTTGTTTTTGTTCACGATTTGGTCAATTCTTCGTTGGATTTCCTTTATCCCCATCTGGATACGGAAACGTGATGAAATATCAGCGGGATATGCCTCTAGTGAGTTTCTCCTCATGACAATCGATATGGGTACATCATCCAGTATCATCCCAGGACGCTGCCACGGACCCGGGGTAAAGCTTGGGTTATCGTTTGCAACGGCTGACATGGTGGGCTCATTTCTCGACTTCGCCACCATCTTCTAGTGCTTCTCCTTGTACTTCTTTCTTTTCCGCTCCGTCTCCTCTTCTTTATTTTTCCCTTGTCCGGAATATCAACTCATCAGATATACGCGGATCGCCTTGCTACTAGCGACGCGGCCGCTTGTCCTGATGGCCTCCAAGCCCCTGAGACAAATCGATTACTCCATCACCTCTCCGTTTCCTTGACCTGTCATCACCGCCTCCTCTCATGTCATCGTGACCACCACCAGGTCCGCTAGGCCTGGATGATCTTGATTCTCGAGGGGGCCTGCCATGGCCATCACTCCTTCCACCTCCCATAGGCGGCGCTCCACCCTGGCTATGACCTGATCCATCGCCTCCACCTCTGTGGCTGCCATGGCCGCGGTGACTGGGTTCTCTTGAGGGTGGTGGCGGCGGCATGTCTCCTCCACCGCCTCTGTGACCAGATCCGCTGCCTGCATTTGAATCGCGGCCGGATCTCCGGTCACGCGACGACCCGCCCGTCATAAGGTCGGCACTGGGGCCACCAGGTGCGTTGGCCGTCGATGGGCCGCCGCCACCGCCGCCGCCGCGGCTCCTGCTTTCCCTGGAATAGTCGCTTCTAGAGCTCGATTCCTTGCCGTCACCACCGCCACCACCACCACCACCACCACCACCAGGGTTGCGCTCACGGCTGCTTCTTCTCGAAGGTCTGTCGCTTCTCTCCGAACGAGAGCTATGGTGCCGGCTACTTCCGCGCTCGTGGTCGCCACCGGCTCCTCCTCTGCTGCTGGAGCCGTACCCTTCTCCGTTCACGTCACCACGGGAATGACCGCCATGTGGGATCGACGAGGAATCCTCACGACTGTCACCGACAACTTGGATGGGCGCCAGACCACTACGTGGCTCCCGATCTCTAGGTTCCCGATCTCTGGTGTCTCTGCCACGGTCCCGTTCCCGATCGCCGCGATCCGTGCTCATTTCCCTGCGCGAACCGCTCTCACGAATGTCTCTGAGGGGGTCGGGCCTGTCATTGACAGGTGTGTTGCCAGGTGATGCACCAGCTAGTACTTGGGCATCCGAGTCCACCATGGTGTTGATTCTTGACGACCCGCGCATGCGCGAACCAGGCCCACGAGCGTCCATGGATGCTTTGTCAAGCATGTTTTGGATACCACGAAGCTGTCTGCTTCCTCCGCCAGATCGCATGCGGTCATTGTTAGAAGCTGATGGGCCGGTAGGAGTGACGAAGTTCGAGCCATGCTGTCCAGACGGTTGTTGCCGTCCGCTGTTGTTGGGTGCAGACATGGAGGGCCGATCTGGGGTGTTGATCGGAGGCCGGTTATGGGCACTTGGGCCAGTTGGTCGATGGCTAGGTGGACCATTGATTTGGTTCAACCGATCAGGATGAACGCCCGGAGCCGAAGGAGGTTGGGGCGGAGGCGGCGGAGGTCCAGCTTGTGGTTGTTGTTGCTGACTTGATTGACCGCTTTGCTGTGGTTGCTGGTTGATGTGGCTCATCCGATCAGGATGGACACCGGGAGATTGGGCAGGCAGGGAAGAAGGTGTTGCGTTGACATTGCCGCCTGCATTGTCATACTGACCTCTACGCGACTGTCGGGAAGACGAAGGGCCAGTCGGGGGTTGACGATCGGGTGAAGAGGTACGGTTGGCTTCCATGCCCGGGAACCGGCCGTCGGGACGTATTGGGACTCCATTAGCAGGACCCATTCTAGCGTTATTCCTACCACGACCCCGTGGGCCTGATGGAGGTGGACCACCGGACCCCGAAGTCGCTGCCAGTACTGGTGCTGGTCCGCTGTCGACGACTGACTGGATAGGATTCAGCCTACCGTAGTTAGGATCTTGTTGGACAGGTCTGCCATGGTCATGGTCCATGCCACGAGGAGGAGGCTGATTGTATGAACCATCTCTGGATCCTCCTGGTCTCTCCATTTCAGCGGGGCGGTCTAGGCGGCCGTGTAACGATCCGCTATCTCCGTGAGAATGACCGTCACGGCTGCTGCTGTGGTAATCCGCATGTCGATGGCGACCTTGACGGTCGTCGCGAGCGTTATCGGCCTGGCTGTTCGCCGACCGTTCAGATGCCCTGGGAGATTCCGTACGAGGAGGCCGTTCGCGAGTTTGGTCCCTGGATGAGGAACGGCCCTGCGGTTCACGAACGTCGGTGATGAGAGCAGCTCTCGCCGGGTTGATATGAGAATGCTGCTGTTCGGCAGCTCTCGGTGGGGTGGGAAGAGACTGCTTCTGTTCGGCTTCTGCTAGAAGTCGAGCACGTTCCGGGTTGATAGGCGGCTCTGGTGCGTCATTGTGAGATGGCGCAGCCGGTGAAGGTGCCGCACCTGCATTTTCCCTAGAGAGTCTTCCATCGTGCCGGTTAGCACCGTGGGGCGTTCTGTCTCGTGGTTGCCGGCCATCACGGCCAGGAGCAGCTGCAGGCTCAGTCCAACGAGGTGGGAGTTCCGCACGATTCGGCCAATCCCTATCGGTTTGGCGAGACGAGTCCCTTGTAGGCGGTTCCGCGGGACGCCTGTCGGTTGATGGGAAGTCGCGCGGTCGTTCAGGGCGTGACGTTTCCGGGGCTCGATAGTCTCTGCTATCCCGACCATGCACAGGCTCCCTCGTTTCACGGGGATGTGTCTCGCGCGGCTCCCGAGTCTCACGCGGCTCTCGGGCATCACGGCTATCCCTAGATGAAGGGGGCTCTCTTCTGTTGTTCATGTTGTGCTGGCCTCGGTTGAACTGACTGGCGCTGAAAACCTCTGGAATTGGCACATCTGGTCTCCTTGGCAGATCAGGATTGCTGGGCAGGCCGCGGCCGCCAGGGTTTAGAGTCGATGGTCTGTTGACATCATTGCGGTTTCCAGGGAGTTTGGACGGTAGCGGGCCTGCGTTAGGCGCTGGAGGTCGAGGAGGCGGCCCATTACCTCCCATCGACCTTTGTGGAGGATTAGCGTCCTTTTGCGCTTCCCTAGTAGGGAGGTTTCTTGTCGGAGTCGAGTCCTTCTGGTTTCCAAAGCCCGCGCTAGATCTTGCACTTCCACTTCTGTTATCCTTGACTTCACCATCTTCAACCTCGGCGGCGGTTTGTTTCCGCCCATGAGAACTGGGCTTGAGGGCTACTGTCGCAGCGCGAAGAGAGGACTTGCCTTCCTCCTTCGAATCACTCGTCTGTGCTCGGTCAGCGTTTGTACGCGTCGGAGCCTGAGCCGATGCACTTACTGTACCAGGGCGGAATGCCTGAACCAGGATCCATTTGGATTTCCTTTTCTGTAGCTCAGAGAACGCCGTCTGTGCTGTGACCGAAAGATCGACTCGATGGCCTTCCTCGGTCTCAGGAGCGTTCTTGGATGCAGCCTCTCGCTCAGTGATGGTTTTGAGTTGCTCCAAGAACTTCTCGGCCATGAAGTTGATTGCTGGGAAGAAGTCGATGACAGCCTTCAAAACTGTAATGGCATTCCTGATATGCATCCACTCCATGTCATTGAGGCATGCTCTTAGTGCCGAGTTGAGCTCCTTATGCCACTTGAAGAGGAGGTCACGGAACGCATCGTGTTCAACAAAAGCCGTGGGTTTCCCATCCGCGTCAAAAGCAGTAGCGAA